TCCCCTTAAAGGCAAGATATTGCAAACGAAAATTGCTCGTAAGAAGTTAAAAAAAATGGAATTTTTAGCAAATCATATTGTGTCATGCAAAAAAGTTGTAAAAAGCTTTTTTTTTGGTAAAGACGGCTACATAAGGCGAAAAGCCTGCAACTCCCAACGGTAAAAAAACAACAACAACACAAGGTTCTAATTTTATGTAGAAGCATGTTAGTATAAGAGTAAGTATCGACAGAAAAAAATAAGCCGAAAATATTTACTGTTTCTTAGTACCTCTTGATGCATTGGGGTCTGCTGCAGTCGATTTTTATGTTTATAACTTGCCGCAACACAATTTTCAGGTGTATAATATCCTTTCGGACAGCACAGGATTTCGGGGTGCGCGTGTTGATGAATTTTCTTTTATACTCTTTTTTTCAGTCGTGAAAATGGTGTCCTCTTCTCTCTCTCTCTCTCTCTCTCTCTCTCTCTCCCCCCCCCCCCCCCCCCTTCCGTCTTCCCGGTCAGGGTGTCCCGCATTTCGACGGCAGGAAGGTGGTCACCCTAATGGAATCTGGTACACTACCCCTTCCGCGCACGCGACAAAGGCAGCCCGTCGTTGCTCTGCGGAACGGGTCTCAATTTGCACATCTTTGCGAGCTTTGCAGGTGCAGAGAAAACAACTTACGTTTACACGTTTCGCTATTAAACGTGTAAACGTAAGTTAAACGTTTACACGTTTCGTACATGACGACATATTCAGGTACATGACGGGACTGTAAAGATAATAATCGTATTACCTCAAGGATAACAGAAATATGCAGAACACACGGCTCCAGAATACAAACAAAATTTTAATGCAGAAAAAAAAATCTAATTGTACTGAGATCAAGTCTCTCCATATTTGTAAAATTATGCTTATGCCATGCAAGTGAAAGCAAGTCAAATTATGCTATGCAAGTGGAAGATGATACCTTAGCAATTTGAACCCGTAATTTGTACGATTTATTGGTATTTTCCAATGCTCCTTCTCACGAACCTCGTATACCCTGATATTTGGTGTTAGGTTTGAAATATGTCAAAGGTAAGTCTCGTTGGAACGAAGGGCAGATCTATATTGTTTCAGTAAAGTATACTCATAAAGGTCTGAGACAGTTATTAGACGTGGTTCTTTAAATAATGGAGGTGTATGTGTATCGAAAGGAACATTGAGTATTGTGCCAACAGCCTTTTTTTCAAGAAGGTATAATTGGTTAATATTTGACAAAAATGTGGTACACCACACTAAGTTACAGTAGTTCAGATGTACAGAAATCGCCGTGTATATAAGCACATTTTATGTGACAAGGCAATACATTTCTGAATGGACAAGTTTCCCAAGCACTCTTAATATCGTTTTTAACAACATCATTAACATGAGAATCCCGAGACATCTGTTCATTAAAATAGACTGCAAGCGTTTTGACGTTCAGGACAATTTCTATGACTGAGGGGCCCAGGATAATATTAAAAGGAAAAGAAACAGTCTACCCTTAGGTTTAAAAAGGACAGCCCTTCTTTGGCTCGTGTTGATTAGTAGTGAGTTAACTTCACTCCAATCATACAGCTTCTCCTAGTGAAGCATTCGTTTTATGAACAAGGTCTCCTACTTTTGCACCCGAAATTTTTAGACTGGTATCATCGGCATAAATGATGAAGGAGGGGGCTTTGCTGGTGTTAACAATGTCGTGTATGTACATATTAAATAACAAAGTACCTAAAATGCTACCTTGCGGTACTCCAGCACTAATAGGTAGGACAGAAGAACTGTATCCATTTATTACGACACATTACTGGAGAAATTTTAAGCACGATCGTAAAAGAACTGAAGGTGCACCACGAATTCCATAGCACTCGAGCTTTTTTTATTAGGGTAGTATGGTCAATACGGTCGAACGCCTTCGACCGTGTCTAGACGACTATGAATAGAACCCCTAAGTAAGCCACGCTTAGAGTATCGGCACTCCATGCATTTTCCGATATTCGTGTGGACGCCGCCATTTTGGTGTTCAGTGCAGAGCTGGCTCAGTGGAAAATCGTTAAGATTAAAACACCCGACTTCCTGAGCTTTTGATCATCTGCCGGGAAGCCCAGGCTACATCGTTTCGCCCTGTCGCGGGCTGTTTCGGCATTTATGGAGGGCAAAAAAGCGTTTTCTGCGATTTCAGATAAAGCGTCAAATGACTGGCAACAGTGATGTACAGCCACGATCAGAGGTAATTGGAACACGGGAGTGGTGGCCCAACTGCATTGCAGCGCTATCTAGCCGCGCTCGTGGGAACTGATAGGAGACTACGCGCATGCGTGCATGCCGGCGCCGATGGCCTCTCCGCTCCTCTCGACCTATCCCATTTACCGGAGGTTCGAATCGTTCTTTACCGCTTCTGGGACGCAGCGCTACGTTCCCGATGGCGCTGATAGCAGACAGCGGGCACGCTTCCGGCGCTCTTTAATGTCTAGAATATATCTTTAATATGCTCTTTAATATCTTGACAAAAATAAAATAAAAACAAGGTTCGTTGCTTAAAACTTACGGTCTTTGTCAACTTTGCGAGTCATTTTCTGCAGCTGCCGTTGCTATCCTATTTGAGAACAACTTAAAAACATTTTTTTTTTTACGTAGCGATGCGTCACGCCATTAGTGTTTGCCGCGTCATTAGGGAGTTTTCGTAGATCGTTTTCGCTGTCCCGCAAGGCCCTCCGCAACCCGCTACGATAGCGGGAACTCCAAAATCAAGGATATCAGCGCGCAGGCGCAGTAGCAACTTCTTCGTTGCGGAACGTTTAGCGGAGGGGGCAGCGCGGTCTACGAAAACTCCCTATTGAACCAGCACAGTACCGCTTCAGATGACCCTGATAGTGCACCCGTTTCCTCAGTTCGCGCTCGCGGTAAGCGTGCTCGCAACGCTGTCGAACGCTATCAGCGCCATCACGGTTGTAGTGCTGTATCTGAGAAGCATCGGAGGATTATCTGCACCGCCGGTAAAAGATATAGATAGAGTGGTGCAGAGGGACTGTCGGCGCCGGCATGTAGGCATGTACGTAGTCTCCTATCAGTTCCTACGAGCGCGGCTAGATCGCGCTGCAATACAGTTGGGCCACCGCTCCTGTTTTCTAATTACTTCTGAACGTGACTGTACAACAAGGCTAAACCACGGAGAAGCAGTTCAGCCAGGCATCGCGCTCGTCGCGAGAACGAAAACCGGATGCGTTAGAACTCTCCACGACGCGATTTCGCTCCTCGGGGTGAAATAATCAAGTAGAGCAGGATTCACGTAGGACAATTAAAACAATAAATGGCCCAACTTTTTCCCCTTCCTCAATGACGTTGTAATTAATTTTCCCTTCCCCGTGCGCTCTTCGAAACGTGACGTGCGAAAGGTTGGCTTTGCCACAATGAAGGAGGAGTGAATTGGCTTCCCCGCATAAAGGTAATCCGTGCGGCGAAGCTAGATTGTCAGGGGGAGATTTCAACGGCCAGTTTCAACTCGGCAAACATCTAGGATACAAGAAATAAAGAAAGAATAAAAACTTAGGGACATGGACAGACAGCACAGTTCTTGCAACTAGCAACGAACATTTACTGATGTATCCTTCCATACGTACAATCTCTGTCCCTTATCTATTTTATCTCTCTCCCGTATCCTATTTTATCTTTAGTCCGTTGCGACTCAAGAAGGTAGGGCGAAGGAAAGGAAGGTCGGGAAGGAAGAAGCAGTCGGAACGCTGGAGAGGAGCAGGGAAACCTCTTCCTCTCTCCCGCGTTCCGCCTGCTTCTTCCTTCCCGGCATTCCTTTCCCTCACCCCACCTTCTTGAGTTGCGACGGTTTATAGAATAGAAATAGCGCTACAGACAAGGGCAACTAGTACTGCAACTTTCGTTATCGTGCTAGCTGTTGTTGCAACATTTGAACTCCCGTCATATCTGGACCTAGCCGATTTTTGGAGGCACTTGGTGCTGGTAAGTCATAATATAATAAATATAATGTCCTAAGGATTACTGTGCGCGCGACTGTATTGCGTTCATCTGTCGGAAGTGGTTCAACTATCTTGAGGTTACTTGTTACCTTGAGGTCAAACTACCTTCTTCTGGGGGCGACTGCATCGTCCATCTTCATGCCCCCGTTCGCCACTGATCTCAGAACTCTGCGTAATCGTCTGTCATTTACGAATATTCCACGTTTCCGATAACATCGAATAACTCTTGCTGGTTGTGGAAGCAAGTCCAGTTATGACGTGATAATTTTATGGCTGCTTTGTGGGTGGTATCAATGAGGCGCGATTGTTTTATGTCGAAGAATTTTGGCGTGTTGGTACGTAACAGGGATAAAAAGAAAGTGACATAAAGGACGAAGGCAGGACAAAACGTCTTTCTACGATTTCTTCTATCTTGGTTCTTTATGTCGCTTTCCTTTCATTCCCATACTTCTAGCGCTACGGCATTTTTCGGGTCTCTCGTGTTGCCTCCAGAAATGTCAATCTTTTTGCCGCAGGGTGACCTACTTGTCTTGAGAGTTCGGCTTTAAAGTACGGAATCAAAGCTGCCGATGCTAGCAGACGACGTCAGTTTAAAGCCGCTTCGGCGCAGTACTCTGCCAACACTGGTAGCCTCCCATGGCAGCGGAAGTGTTCCCTAAATGGATTCGAGTGCGTCAGCTCGGCAGCGGCACTCGCATCGCCCCAGAGGTTCACACAGAAACGCGTTCGCGTCAACGCTCTGGCTTTCACCGCGTTCGCAGCGCGGCGGCTTTGCCAACGCTGGGGAAGTTGAAGCGCGCTGGACGCAGACGCGCGGAGCGCGTCGACAACGCCTCGTCGATGATGACGTCAGCGCATCCCAAGTGCGACGTAGAGCAGCGTCAGGAGGGAAGCGAATTGAAGCGCCCCTTTGCTCCGCGGATTGCGGGCCCGGCGGCCATGGCGCCCGGACGCTAGGAGTGACGGGAGCGGTTTTTGCACGAGCGCCCGTTTTTTGCCGAGGATGCTGGAGATCGGAGGGGTTTTCCGAACACCCGGGAGTCTAACGGAAGGAAGGTCAGTGACCCGGTCTTTCTCACCTTTCAAATCTCCGACTATTCCGAGGTTTAAACTCGCTTCGCTGGTCGGCAGGCATCCTCAGCGAGGGGGGCGGGTCGGATACCCAGACACTTTTGGGGAGCGTTTCGGTCGCACTGCTGCTATTTCCGCTTTCCCCGTTCAGATACATTTGCAAGCGCAGAATTCGCGGCTACATTTAGTACTATAGATTTTCACGCGTAAAAATCTCCTTCCCCGCGCCCACGCGCGGGTCGTGAGAGACAGTTTTTTCAGCCGAAAAATGTCGACCAAATTTTCACCGAACTATTTCCATCTCCTTCAACTTGATCTGGTTTTCTAGTGAATTTTTAACTTTAGACGATTTAACCGAGCCAAATTTTGAAGTTAAAGAAATTAATGTGGCTTCAAATAAGCGCGGGGTCTCGAAGCTTTCGAAGCGATCGAGACGTGCGTAGGCTTCTCCACACGGGGCTGTCTGTACGGCGTAAGCCTCCACGCGCTCGGAGCTTGTGATGTTAGCAAGATTTTGATGGGCGCTTCGCGATGCTACCGAACGTACGATGTCTCTAACGTATTCATTTACTTCTTTGTTGAATTTCTATGCGGAGTTTCGCTCGTGGCGCCCGCACACCGGGTGCCTGCGTGATTTTGACAGACTTCGCGGTGCCGACCGCGAGCGTCACACCGCTCCAACGGAAGTCGATTTGCCTTCATCGATTTGGGTCGTCGTCCTTCGCCGCTTGTTGACGTTTAATAATGGTTCATTAATCGGTGTGCACCGAGCCCTTAATCGCTGTTGTTTCTGCTGGTTCCCAACGAGCACTTCATAAATTACGCCGCGGCTTGTCCGTTCTTTTTGGAGCGGCGTGCCACCGCCAGTCTGGCAACATGCACGGATGCAGCGAAATCTCATTCGTCTGCTGCTCTGCATGTTGGGTGTTGCTTTTTTTCGGTGCGATGTTCCTACGTGCCTGCGGTGTCTAAATCGTTCGTGTACTTTGCCTCCGTCTTGCACAATCTTACTGGGCAGATGAAAAAGAAAAGAAGAAGAAAAAGAGTTTAGGTTGCGACATTCGGCTTAGAGGTGATGCCCCGTTACGATAGCCTAATGACTATAAACGACAACGTTTTATTATTATTATAATAAGCTGTCGTTTATATTATTCCCACGTTTTCGTGGGAATAATATTCCCAGCTAAAGTTGTCTCTACAGCTCCTACATCTTTTTTTTACTGTCCTGCAAACGTTGTTGCCAGAATAACCATAGCCTCGTTTGCATAGTGGTGCCGGTTTTTTTTTTTTTTTTTGCGTTGAAATTATTGTACATTGTTATTTGCACACGAATCCTTCTGCACCACACAAGTTTTTAATGTGTACCTTTGTATTTTCGCTCACACACTTTTTGTGTCGCCTTAGCTCTCTACAACAGTGACCACAATTATGCGACGTAGATACCCGAATAAACAAAATAAATACTCCGTGTTTTTTTCCAGGGTTGCTTGTACTCCGCTACACTTTATTGTGAGCGCAGCAGAAGCTACAAAAGCGAGCGGCAGGTTTTTTGAGCATCCCTTTCAAGCACGCTCGCGCTCGTGCGGTGCAACCATCACCCTGGTTCGGGGCAACGTGCTCGCGCTCATTACTTCGCTACTTGGAGCCACAAACAAATATCTCGTACGAATGAAGACCGCTCCGGTTAGGAACCGCGGGACTCGTTTTGAGAAGCCAACTGTTGTCACAGACCGGATGCGAACAGCAGGGAGGTCTTTCAGGTTGTTCAGCGCATGCTTCGGTAACACTTGGCTGTCTCTTGAGCCTATAGAACATGCAAGCACAGCCGAAGCACGGCGGAAGGCAACCGGCGCGTGCTGGAGGAATCTGAAAATGTTTTTTTTTTTTCTCGTCCTCTTTGTGACTATAGACCAAGTAATTAGACAAATCCTATTTTCACAAAGTAGAGCTAGTTAAAAACACACACACACACACAATCACACACACACACACACAAGCATGCACGCAGGCACGCTCACCAACCGAATGTTCTGCGCGTGTAGGTCTTGCTAAAAGACAAACAGGCTCTCCGAAGCAAACGCCGTTCCGCCAACTGCATGTACGTGCGTTTTAATTTTATTTTTCTCTTCATTTTATTTTATTCACTTTTTTTTTTTTTTGGGGGGGGGGGGGCGGGGGGGGAAGGGAGGGGGGGGGGCCGATATTTCGCGTTGCTCGGAGAGAAGTGGTCCCCGTTGGCCGTTTTCAAAATCGTCCTCGGTCAATTCATCGCGCGCCGGAGACGATGATTTCCAGCGACATCGTCGTCGTCGTCGTCGACGTGTGTTGCGGCGGGCACAGACGACGCAATTTTCCTAAGTAGCCGTCGGATAGAAGCTGTCTAGAGTTTTTTTGCTGTTTTTGCAGGCCTCAGAAATATAGAGCGTCTAATATATATATATATAGAGAGAGAGAGGGAGAGGGCCGTTAAGATGGGTCACATGCCGTACGGAAGCGGTCCTGTCAATACTGCCGAGACCATTAAATAGATGCGGCCTGGAAATTTCCAATCACGTCCGCTGCGGGTTTATCACGGAGTGGGCTGGTTTCGACACCAGACGATTTTTATTTGTCTTTCGCCATGATCGTTTGGCTTGGTTGTGCATTGGGTAGTCGTAGTCGCTTCCGACACGTCGTTATCGCCACAAAAAAAAAAACAGGAAAAAAGCGTTTGTTTAAATTTAAGAGAATATTTACGAGCATCTCCGGTCGCTATAAAAACAAAATACTGTCCCAGTGAAGAATGAAGGCATTCAAAGTCGACCCCTCAGCGACATTCGTGTTTTCAAGGACGGAGACCGAACTTTAAGAAAATATATCTATCTATATATAGATATATCTTCCGTCTCTGTCCTTGAAAACACGAATGTCTCTTCGCCCCCCTCCCTTACACACACACACGCACACACAAAGAAATAGTTTCGTTTTCTTTTTTCGTCTATTGGAAATTTGCCGTTGGACTAATCCCAGTTAGTCACGCAGTTATTTTTGGCGACCAACTCTAACAGGGATATCATCACTCTGGAAGAAAGCATGTAACGCATTTTTTTAGTGCCTTTCCGACGCACAAATCAAGTGTACCAGCCGGTGTTCGCATAATGTATTAACAACTTGGGAACCCGAAAGTCGTTTTTTTCATCGCGAGTTTAATTTTCATCCCCCAGTCCTGAACACGACGCTTCATGCTTTCGATGATTTTTTTTTTTTTTTTTTTTTTACAGGATTTTTTTAGGTTGGTTAAGTCGGTGAAGATCTCATTATGTATTGTTTTGTTTCTTAAGTTCTCCGTTCACGTGAACCCTTGTAGAAGGCGTTCGTTTTCAAGCAAATGGATAACAACTTTCGGTTTGCGCAGTAAACTCTCGTTATGGTGGAACGCGTGAAACTTCGAAATCTATCGAATTTGCAAAAGACAAAATTGAACCATTCGGCTAAGTTCACCGGTTTAGCCACCAGAAGACCCTCAATGCCGAAAATACGGGACATTTTTATCGGCCATAAAAAAAAAAAAAAATGTCCACAAAAGCGCAGTTTTTTTTTTTTTTTTTTTTTTTGTTTTTTTACGCGAATGAATAACTTGTTATTTTGTGCGAAAAAGCAGCGTCGTTGTGCCCGAAAGATGGCCATAAAAATACGTCATCAAGCACGCGCTGCTCAATCGTATGCTCAAGGACTTGAGGTCGTACTAGACGTCGCCCTCCAGGCGTCGTCCTTAAGGTCGTTCTACACGTCGTCCTCTAGGCGTCGTTTTCGACGTCTTCCTTTAGCTGTCGTTCTCGACGTCGTCCTAGAAATCGCCCTAAACGTCGTCATTGAGGTCGTTCTAGTGGTCGTCCCAGAAGTCGTCCTAGACGTCGTGCTTGACGTCGTCTCGACGGCGTCTTAGAAGGCGTCGTCCTAGGAGGACGTCGACGTCGTTCTAGACGTCGTCCTAGAGGTCGTCCTAGACGCCGTACTTGGCGTCGATCTCTAGGACGTCGTTCTATACGTCGTCCTAAACTTTAATATGTGTAGAAACAGTACTCGAAAACATTTGTCCCGCGGGACTATAATGCTTTCGCCTTCCTACACCGTAAGCAGTCTTGAGTGTCCTCCTGTAGTTCTTTTATTGACTCGTAAGTGTGATGTTTCAAACTCTCTGGAATATATAGACAGACGCTCTAAACAAGTCGGCGTTTGCCCACACACTGCGCGTGCGCAGAAACCAGATTTGCGATAAGAAAATCGTCTGGGCATGCGCCAACAGTAACGCCACCGCAGCGGTTTGACGTCAGTTCCGCATGTCTGTGTATACGGCAACGTTATTAGATTAGCTCAGTTACGGAGCCGCTCATAGACGCTGCTTGCAGGAGCAGTACCCCCCTCTCTCACCACGGCTCGCCTCCCGACGTTCGACGCGCCACACGGCTGCTACGGTGACTACATTAGAATCTATGGAATACGTACGTTTCAGAGCACAGCGTCTAGATAACGTTCCACCGTGTTCTATGTAACATACCCTTTTGAAACGAAAATCGAGAAGGCGCTTCAAACGACGGGAGGTGAACTGAAGTGAGTGAGGGGGAGAGGTGGAATACCCCCTTCCCCTCACTCCGCAGTTGCGGAACTCCTCCGCGGGAGTTCCGCAACTGAGGTAATCAATACTTCGTTTCAGCTTCGGTCCAGACGCAGCCGATGCTACAAGCACGAGCATGTGGCCCAGAACAGTGCTTGCACTGCACGAGCGCGCGTGCGCGGGCAGGAATGCTGAAAGCCCGGAGCTCGCGCTTGTAGCTTTGACTGCGTCTGGACCGAAGCTGAAACGAAGTATAGAAACGCTGCTGTACGGCGTGCAAGTTCGTCCGCTTTTTGGGCACCTCGTGCGATTGTTTGCACTAGAGTTGGGCCCGCGTGCCTTTGATTCCTCCCGAGCTCAATCAACGATTGTGCACGCTCGGCTGCCTAGA